CCCCTACTGCATGTCAAGGCCAAAAAATCCATAACACCATCCATGAACATCAAAGACAAAAGACAAACACACACGGCCAGAAAACACACTCTTCACAGAGTGCAAAAAAATCTCAATTTCCTCCTAATTAAAGTAAAAACAAACACACCCTAACATTCTCTTGCACAGCTTAACAGTGCTTATTTACCATTCTATATTCGCAAACAACCATTTCAATGACACGTATGACAGCTATGGTGCGTTTCGCCATAAATTGCATCACAGGAGTATGGATGACGACAGGAGTCAACCTGACCCCTCAGTCCGAAACAAAATGTATGAAAGGAGCCCTGGAAGGCTGTGGATTCCATCACGGCGAGGTCAGCACACTGAACATCACCCATGATCAGAAAGTATCACAGTGCTGAGGCTGTAAGACGACGAACGCGAATGGCCCTCAAAAGGTCAGGGAGCTTGCCACGTATTACACTTTTACCCCCAAAAGTCTCTGGTCATTAGGGGGCACCAATCGAGCGAGAACAGCAGGCTCCAACAACCCAAGCACCAGCACAGGGAGCTGAGCTCACCTCAAGCACAGCAAGGGCCGACACAGCAACCTCACATCAGGGAGTGTTAGGATCGATTTATGCTTGGCGCTTGCAACTTGTCATGACCACCACATGTCATCTGCGTTGATTCTATGTGTCATCTGTGATCCTATGCAAGGAATTGATGCTACACATACTCGAGATGCAGTACCACAAAAATCTTGGAGACAATTTGGTCACCTTTTGTCACAAGTGTGTGTTTATATGGTACACTTAGTATTAAAGTAGCATACAATTTTTTTTTTAAGAAATGATTGGCTGGCAGATATTCAAAAACATAAAATACTTTGAGACAAGAGGAAAAAAAAAACTTATGGACATTATTGTGTGCCTCTATGTACAATGTTATCAGAATTTGGCAGTTTAAGTTTCTTCTGCTTCTAAGTTCAATCTGAGCTTAAAAAAAAAAAAAAAAAAAAAAAGCAGGGTACCAAGTACAGCGCAGCAAGTACATTTTCTTACTTGCTTATTTTCATAAGTAATTTTTCAATATAGTTCCAGTATTCAGAAATCTTGGTGATTAAATTCGGCAAGAGCGTGGGGGTTTGCATTTTGCTAAAACATTTATATTGTTATAGGAAAGAAAACATAGCAAGCATTGAAATTTTAATAATCGTTCAGTTTCAAGATTAAAATAATGTGAAGCATATAGCAGTGGCAGAGCTCTGCATGTGCTTTCAGAGCCAATCCTCATCAATTTCATCATGGCTCTTTAAATTACTCATAGACATGTTTGTGAGAAATTGATTTAGAACTCATTTTTGCTTTAGAAATATTGCAATATTTATCACAAAAAAATATGTTGTGTTCTCTGATATTCTGCAGCCATAATTCTAAATACAAAATACTAACTACTATAAGATATCTAACAATACATAATGGAACATTGAACCTGAGGTAGTAAAATGATATGTGCCAAAGAGAAATACCAATACAATGTGGAGAGAGGTAGGATATAGAGAATGTTGAAGGCATTACAAAATTAGCAAAGCAGCGTGGAGACAGCGAGTATAAAACATTTCATACTACAACCTCATACAAACAAGTAAGACTGGAAACAAAGTAGCCAACCAAGATGACTTTCTTGCATTGCCCCTGGTGAATACAACTTCTAATCCTTCAGACTAACATAAACTACACTTGCAAGTATGAATAGCAGCATTGCTTGCGTAGTGACAACACGCGTAAACCAGCCGGGAAAACGGACGAGAGAGTGCTGAACTGGAGACGAGTACAACCAAAGTATATGACTCCCAAACGGTTATCAATAATTTTGAACCTGAGGAATACTGTGGTTACGCACTCACAGTAAAATAAACCTCAGCATGTTACCTGCTAAACAAAACTCTGACAGCTGGCTGACACCTTAGTTCCATCTAAATAACGGAGGCATAACAGACTCAAAGAAATAAGCCCTGGACTGAGATCAGGACTAACAGCCTTACAGTCACTCCTGTACCAGGATCACAATTGTTCCAGGATTACATGTTACATGGCATCTGATGGTTCCCACTCAAGTCCTCTTTTGACCATCTTAGAATGAGACAATTGAATTTGCAGGACTGAAATCACATGTGTGTCAGCAAAAACTGCTTGTTTCAATCCCTGCAAAGTAGCAAATACAAATTAAGACAGGACGATAAATGATTAAGCAATTAAAATTCTGCTTTCAATTTTACAAAAGGTCAGATAAAACAACCCTTCTAGCAATACCTCTGTTTCCAAATTTTTTGGCTTTTACATATCCCACATAAAGCATTACGAATTATAATTAACATTCTACTTATTTAAATTACACAAGTCAAACAATTAACAGCAAGCACAACGGGTATTTCACCAGAACCATGCCCAAAAAAACACTACTGTGTTGGGATCCGTGACCTATACCAGCTGGAAAATCAGACGTAACATTTAATGCCTGTATGAAACACGTCCCCATAGTTCACTTGTGATCATTAAAAGCATTAAAGTCTAAACGGCCCAGACAGACACCCATATGCAGATTATACAGCAACACTGCAAAAGCAAATCCTGGTCACAATTTATGTGCAATTCCGTGGGCAGCCAGATTTAACTTAAACAGACAGTGCATTAAGAGGAATTTCAGTACAGTCCTTAACAGAATATGGCACCCTTTATGAGAAAGTCTTAACAGTAAGAGGACAGCATTAAGAACTGAGTACTGCAGAGCGCCGCCTTGTCCCAGCCAAGATCTTTGCTCCATCGATGGCTTGGCTTCTGCAGTGTGACTGAGCAGACACACAATTCAAGACAAAACTGACCAGGATTATTTGCAGTAATGAAGTTTATACAGAACAAATCAACATGCTGAGTAACACAACCTATTTTTCAAAAAACAAATAAGACTGAATAGGTTTTACAGATTAAGCACATTACCAGAAGTCCCAAATGAACATGGTAACAAGCCTGGTAACAAGTTTATCCTGTTCAGGGCACAACCCACAAACGCAGGACAGACTTAGAGCTCAGCCTACAATCCATGTCTCATCTATGCCACCCAGAGGCTGTGATGAGGGCCTCGGCCTGGGGAGCAACAGCGTATAACGTTAGGGCAGAGCATTAGTGCCTCCTACAGAGCTGACAAGCACCTGCAAGTGGAGAGAGCAGCACGTGAAGGGTGCCAGACTCCACAGCAATACAGGATCTGTGCCCTGCAGCAATCGGCTGTAGGAGCATGAGGGACCACATCCAGATGGGAAAAGCAGGCACCTGACCTTGTCTACATCTGCATACAGATGCAGTTTCACAGAAATACAGTTATGAAATTTGGATGGCAGAGGGATTAAACTACACTTAAAATAAAAAACACATATACAACCAACAGCACAGTCCAGACATTATACGGTTCTCACACTTCAAGAGTTACAACATGGAGCCCTTCAAAAACGATTTCTATCGCCATCATATTGGTGGCCTACTACTAATCATAATATAATTACACATAACCACACAATAATTTTTTTTTTTTTTTATTTCTTTTTTTGGGACAATGCACATTAATGAACAAACACTACAATGACATAATCAAGCAATGCTTGTAAATGAGCCAGATTGTAGCACAATCGCTAATTTACATCTGTAGTCCCTACATAAGAAAACATGACATACAAAGACGACATGAATTCAAACAAGTCCGAAGTGGAAGCCAGTTTTCAATCCAGAAAAAACAACCAATATCCAAGAAAACATTCAATGAAGTCTCGAGTTAAATATGTCATCCAAATTAAAGTAACAGCTATGCAACATACTGAAAAACTTGAGATTTTCCAAAGAGGTTTTCAATTAATCAGATTTAAGACTGTCTTTTAGCATGTTAAGAGGTAAAAAGAGAAATAAAAAAAGAAAATGCTGTGAAAATGCTTAATTGGGGATGCTCAGCGCGCATTTCTGAAACGGAGCCGGCGACAGGAGCTAGAGACTCGGCTCGCCCGAGAGCCCGGAGCTCAAGACCGGCGGCGACGCGCCTCTTACGCGCGCCGTTCAAGTATAAGAGCTAATCAGGGATTGTTGCGGCATTACATCAGATGCAATTATAAATGGCCAAGAGCGCAGGGTGGGGAGCCAATCAGATCTCAGCTCGCGTGTCAACCTAAGACCAACTGTCTCCTGCCTTTGACAGAAGGATTTTACCTCCATAATTCAAATCCCAAAGCAAAGCGATCTGCACTCGCTGTAATGGCCGGCAATGTTTACCGGCCGCCCGAGCACACAACGCTAGAAGCTAAATAAACGTGCCGGCTCGTCGGAAAGAGGCCGTCTAATAAGAATAAGCAGTGGACGGCGTATATCTGCAGCTTCTCACAAAATAACACTTTTTTGGTACTTTTTTACTGCAGACAGACACCCTTCACACACAGATCGCAAACGGCTCTCGCATTCGTACAGGACCCGCAATGACTGCAATTTTTCCAGAGCTGGAGAAGGCAGACACGCCGATATCAAACATACTGTCAGAAATTATCAGATCGATGCGTGCAGCTAATCTACCAACAAATCTTACTCAGTTCACGGAATAAACACAAACGATAACGTATTAGAACAGTAAAACAGCCATAATGACAGCAGTCGAATGACGTTTGGAGCGCCTTTCGCTGCAGATAAACACGTTCGGCAAAATCAGCCCTTCTCACCCGTTTACCCCAGTAAAAGTACACTGCCCCACGCCCCACGACTACCCAACTTACGATATGCACCTCGGGAAATCAAACGGGTGACTTTTCGTGCAATATCAGGCCACGCTTACAAGACATAAGTACAGTAAACCGAGGTGCTGTTAGGAAAAGGCAAGAGGCAGCCATTTTAGAGAGGCTGTGTAGACAATGGCAGGTCCATAGCAATGTGTTGCACTCTACACCATTTACACCGAGCCTCCAGAGCTGCGCGGCACGGGCTACGGGTGCCCAGGGCTCAACCGGGACCTACCTGATTTCGGGTCAGAGGCTGTCCGGAGTTTCCCGGGCTAATAGGCGGTGGGTGATGGCTCCTTTGTTGCCAAGCCTGGTGGCCCCCACCACCATACTGACTGCTGCTTCCCATGTCTGGTGGTCCCTTGTTAGCCCCTTCCTGGTTGTTGTAGTCGCTCGGTAGGTAGCTCTGGTAGCCCCGCGAAGAGCTGGGCGAGGTCAGGAGCTGATTTAGGGTCGGGGTAGGAGTGGAGTTAGGCGGCTGGCTTCCCGAGTTATACCTCTGAGCGTTGTAGGAGGCAGCCATAGCAGTGGTTCCTCCCGCTGGCTGCTGCTGCTTGCCTGGCTGCCCCCCAGCCGCCGGGGGCTGGTTGCTTCTCGGGGAATTCATGGCGTAGCCGGGGCCTGGGTAGGGCGTCCGGTTCGGGAACTGGCTGTAGCTATTAAACTGGTGGTTAGGGAAGCCGTGCTCATGAGAACTGGGCTGATATGAGTCCATCATATTGCCTGGCTGCACAGCCGGCCCCGCTGCCGCTGCCATGCCAGGGCTTTGTTGTCCGCCATGTTGATGAAAAGGGGGCCGGCTGTAGTGCTGGCTGTAACCGTAGGGAGATGGAGGAAAACCGCCCGGGTGATGGTGTCCCATCCCGGGATGGCTATTCCCGTCAGGTCCCACTGAATCATTCTGGTTATTATTATTGTTCAACCTGGACGGATTCCCGTTGCCGTTCTTCATCTCAGGATCCCCTCCTCCCCCCGCATTTCCAGCATCGGCCCCGTCCTGCAGATCCTTCTGACCCGGAGATCCGCTCTCTGATCCCGGTTCCTTATTTTCCTGCTGCTTTTCCCCCGGTACCGATTCCTCGAGCGGGTCCCGATCAGCCTTTTTTAGTTCGGAAGGCGGACTGCTGTTGAGAGTGGCGGCGCTAGCGACCTGAGCGGCCATGATATCCCTCTCTCTCCCTCTCTTTCACAGCGAGTTAGTCACAATCAGCCTCTCAGTAGCATTGAATACAAATACAATTATTTATACCAATGTTCCCGTGTCCCGGTTCATCCCCCCCCAACACCAGACAGAATCCGGGTTGGCCTACCGGTTCCGAGTCGAATAAAAAGTTAATGGAAGAATATAAATAAAGATCCCGGGAAATAATTTAAGCGACACTGAATGTGGGGGGGCTTCTGTTACAGAGCGAGACTGAGGGCGAGAAACTGATCAAACCAGCACGAGGCTTCGCGAGACACAGCCATTTTACTGAGGCACGCGGAAAGACGCAAAACGCGGAGCGGAGTGGGTCCCACAGTCCCGCTGGAATGGGACGGGCTAGGCCTATTCTATATATTTTTTAAAATTACATTAGACCACGATAGTTTTATTTATTACATATAGCCAAATGTCGTCGTTTTTAAACACCTATAACAGAATAATCTTCATACTGAAACCATGTAGTAACTCCTCGTACTAGTAATATAGAAATAAAATACATTATACAATTATATATTTTATTTTTCATGGATTATATGTTCTATACATTCCACATTTAAAATGTTATCGTGTGCCGTGCGTTATAAGTCTTAATTTGTTATATGCACAGTATGGCAGAGAATACACGCTAAATAAATATCGCAATAATATAAAAAAAGATAATGTAGAACAATATATCATGTGCTTGGTATAACGACATTCATCTTTTGGACTCTCAATTCAAATGTGTGAAGACTGACTCGGGACTACAGCGTCCCATCGCATGTATTGCGCGCAAATGAGAAGAATGTTATCAGCGAAGATGTGGAGCCAGGCAGGCATGGAATTACAGCCGGGGAGCGAGCGAGTGAGCGATGGTGAGAGAGAGAAAGACGGAGGATGGGGGATGGACTGAACCAGTCAGAGAGCAGGAAGTGAGCACGAAAAAAATAAAAGGCGAAGGAAAAAGCAGAATAAGTCACAGGGGCCGATTGAATCAAAATACTACTTCTAAGGAAAAACTATCCCCAGTCTTCGACGTATTGATTATTGCTCCTTGGAAAGACCAATAGCTGTGCAGACGATGTAAAAAGCCAGTATACAATAATCTAATGGGACTAAAATGCGCTCCATTCTTTCCCCTTCTCTCTGTGCGTCTCTCCCCACCCCCTCTCCCCATTTTCTCTGCCTGCCTCTCTCCAGCAGCAGCTACACCGGTTGCAATAGCAGCACAGCTCCGCTCTCAGCGCATGGGGGATGGGCCGCACGGCCCAGCACAGCTGCCTTTTTTCCGCCTTTTTTTACGATGCTGAGCTGCTGGTGCTCACCACACCTCACCTTGCCCAAAAAACCAGAGAAGCCTCGCTAGTTCTCGACGTGATATGAACTTGGCGAAAGATGGTTTTGTGAATATTTAAAAGCAGCTGACAGTATGTGTTTGGCTAGGGGGGAGGGAGGAGCTGGTTTCCTCTAAATGTGCAGTGCAGGATGAAGGCGTATGAAAGAGGGGGTTGGGCTTCTCATCTGAGGAACGATAATTTTATGATCAGAGCTCCTTTTCTAGTTTCATTCTATAACCCTCTCTTCCCAGCCCACTTCAATATTAAGGCGCTACGTTTTTTTCCCATCCGGCAAGTTCGGTTTAAAGCCCCCTGATTAGAGAGCTTTGTACAATTACATTTGCAAATGCATGCCGGCTTTCTGCTAGAGCAAAAGCAAAAAGGAAGAATAGTCACATGGACCTAAATACACTTTCCCCCAAGGGATTGAAACATAGAGATATAAACATTTTCTCATTTTATGAGGAGAAAAACACTGTCACAAGGAAATCAAAGTTAAAATAAAAGGGTTGAAGTAAAAACAGAAATGTGGCAGTGCAGTACAGAAATAAACTGATTTTTTTCGGTTCAATTATATTTGAACATTTTTAACCAGTTTTAATTTGGGCTATTTGAGAAGCCTGTGTGATGGGAGATTCATTCACACGCTTTGTAATTCTGCGCTTTTATACATCTAGATATTTTACTGAAGTATTTTAGGTTAGACAAATGATCCAGAATCCAAAATGCCTGTGTATGCAAGTGAGTATTTGTATGTGCCCTGTGATTGGCTAGAACCCGTTCCCTCAGCATGGTGCTCACAGTCCTGTCAGGTCTGCAGGAAGAGAGATTATTATTATTATTATTATTATTATTATTAGTCTCTGTCTTAAACAGAAAACCTCAGATGTCAGTAAGGGAATGAAAGAATAAGAGGAAAGAGGACACAGGTGAGATAACAGACAATCCACAATGGGGTTTACCAGAGCACACAAAAACACTCACACACACACCATATACACATGATGCATAGTGCCCTGCAGTCCAGCTCCATGCTGGGTGTACAGTGACACCTGAGGAAAAGATTCTGTTGCATACAAAGAACCACCTTTTTGTTTTAGCCCATTAAACAGAACTTGGTTTTCAAGTCATTGTTGGCTTTATGTCACTCTAGAAGTGAAGCCAAGAAAAGAAGACACACATAAATGGTAATAAGAAAACTAACAAAACAGATGTAGTGTTCCACAGTAGTCTAGTTGACATTTAGCCTGCTGAACTCCAATGAGCAGAGATCTGAGGGAGGTCCCAGGTGCTGTGATGTCAGGATGCCCACCTCCTCATGCAGAAAGGCATAGAGAGTGGGCCAGGAATTCACTGTGAGCATCAGGAAGCACAGTGATAGCACATTCATACACATGGCACTGGTACCTCCACACAAGCAGCCACCAGCTCCAGCGAGGGTAAGAGTTTAGTACAGGCTCCCATCTGACTTCCTCCTGGAGGGCTGTGTGATCCAGAAATCCCTCAGGGAGATACTATGGCAGCGTTAATATGAGACATAGGTGAGACGCTTCCTCATCATAACAGTCAGAACTGGCAGATCCAGAGAACACACTTAACAGGCCACTCTTCGGTAGTGAGTCTACCTGTACGTGTCACTTCAGTATTATGGCTTTTCCCCATATTCTACTCTATGAATTAACGGTCTCACTCTGTAAGAGACGGTACTTAATGCTCTTTTTGGTAGACACCTTATTGGATAATGTAAGGAGATCGATGGACTGACTGCTGAAAAATCATCACAGCAGCACTCTCAAAAAATTCTGTATTAGCATGTTTGCCCTTATTTAGCCAATATTTTGATTTTACACTCACAGAGATAAACGTTTGGGGTCATGTCTGTTTTTTTTTGGAAAAGCCCACAAAAGCATTTTTAGGAACACTGTAAGAGCATGTGGAAGCATTTCAGCATGTTTGGGAGTACTGAAATGACCGTGAAAGCATGTAAGAGCCCACAAGAGAACGTGGGCAAGTCTGGAAGCACTGAGATGATCGTGAAAGCATGTTAGAACTCATGAGAGCACATAACAAAGATTGAGAACATTGAAATGAGCGTGAAAGAGTGTAATAGCCCAAGAGAGCATGTAAGCATGTTTGGGAGGACTGAGATGAGTGTGAAAGTGTGTAAGAGCCCATGAGATCATGTAAGCAAGTTTGAGAGCACCGAGATGAATGTGAAAGTATGTACGAGCCCAAGAGAGCATGTAAACATGTTTGGGAGGACTGATATGAGTGTCAAAGTGTGTAAGAGCCCGCAAGAGCAGGTAAGCATGTTTGACAGCACTAAAATGAGTGTGAAAGAGTGTAAGAGCCCAAGGGAGCATGTAAGCATGTTTGGGAGCACTGAGATGATTGTGAAAGTGTGTAAGAGCCTGTGAGATCATGTAAGCAAGTTTGGGAGGACTGAGATGAGCGTGAAAGCGTGTAAAAGCCCAAGACAGCATGCAAGCATGTTCGGGAGCACTGAGATGATCGTGAAAGCGTGTAAGAGCCCAAGAGAGCATGTAAGCATGTTCGGGAGCACTGAGATGATCGTGAAAGCGTGTAAGAGCCCAAGAGAGCATGTAAGCATGTTCGGGAGGACTGAGATGAGTGTGAAAGCGTGTAAGAGCCCAAGAGAGCATGGAAGCATGTTTGGGAGGACTGAGATGAGCGTGAAAGCGTGTAAGAGCCCAAGAGAGCGTGTAAGCATGTTTGGGAGGACACAACCTGAGATGAAGAGATAGGAAACATGGAATAAGGCAATAGAGTTATACAGAGTGGAACAAGGAATGATAAAGTGGTACAGAGGAGTAGAGACAAACAAGGGAATACACACAGTGACTGTGGAAGGGAGAGAAAGGGGCGAAAACAGGTGTGGCAGCTTGACAAGACCTCTGTGCGGAAGCCCACAGGCTATGGGAAGAGCATGTTTCCATTGGTCAGCCCCCCCATGCAGGGCAGCCAGCAGCTGGTCTACACCCCCCCCCCCCCCCGGCTCACAGTGGCACACTTCACGATGAGCCCCCTGCCCCCCTGCATGGTGTCGACACACCCCCCACGAGCCAGGCCTGAAAGCACAGCCTGAACCTGCTTTTGTCAGGTCCCTGTGGGGGGGCCTGGCCCACGGTTGGGGGTTTCAGAGGGCTTTTGTCCATGGTGGATTACAGGTCTAGGGCTCCAAAAGGTGGTGGGGGGATGCATTGACATGTTGATGAAGGAGACTGTGGGCTGCGGCTGCCCCGTGGCACAATGTAAACACAGAAATCACAGCCGCACACCCTGCAGCTCCACTAGTCTGCAGCAGGTGGTGTAGTAGTGAAAGGGCTGGACGTGTGAAAAAAACCTCATTGGACTCTAGGAGCCCAAACAATGTTCTCTGGGGCCACAGTTTAATTTCTCCTCACTATATTTTCAGCCATTTAAAGCAGGCAAAACATTAGCTTTGTATGAAGTAATTTAACATAAATGGAGCTGGAAACAGCCTATCACATGCCCGCTGGGAAAGTCCTTTTAGTGATTAGATATAGGAAGCCACACACACACATTCATTACAGACGTGGCTTTGGCCTTGAGCCAAAGCCTCAGAATTAGGATAACATTTCCCATTGGAATTGAACATTTAGACCAGAAGGCCAGACTGTTGTGGAGGGTCACAACCCAGCCTTTGGCACCCGACACACACTGCGATCATTCTGGCAGCGGGCAGAGGACCCATGTGGAGTCTGGAGCAGGACACTTCCTCTCTCTGGGTGGCATGACAGGACTACAGAGCACAACACAGATTAGCACATGTGGCATTTTCAAAACACCAGTGGCACATGCAGTAAGCACCATGGAATGTAATCCCTTGCATGAAAAGACTGTTTACATTGTAGCTATTTTCCAGTCTTGTGCTTTACAGCTATGAATTGAGTGGGTGAAAAAGGTCATATCAGGAGGAAAAAATACTGATACTGTTATACTGTTATA